GATCATCTGAATTATTGAAATGAGGTGTGTACATTGCCTGTGTGCAGTTTAGGTAAAGGGAAGGCGTCCGACTGCACCGAGGGAACTGTCGATCTTGGTATTCATGCATGCAAGTGACGCACATTCCCAGTATGCCAGCATTACTGGACGTATGATTGTGCATGAACGAGTTAATGCGTTAATGCACATAACTTCCATTCCATTGACTAAATGTGTTTTCTGTGCATGCAAAGGCAATGTTTCCTTCTGTGATAATAACAAATTCACAAAGCTCAGCAATATGTCCCCAAGATCCAACCTCCATCCTTCCATCTTAAAGGTCCCCTATTATACTGTTTTTCATCAATATATTTTAGGTCTCAGATATATACAAAACATGTCTCTGATTGGCTGAAACACCAAACAGATCATTGCAGCATCCCATAATCCCCTCTGTTTCAGCCCTGTTTCAAAAGTGCTGATTCTCACACAAGACAAAACATCGTTATGACATCATAAAGTGGCCAAAATCTGATCAGCTCATCTCAAAAGAGAGAGAATCTTTGTTCCTGAAACTTTCAGAGTCTCTTTACACAGAGGGGACACATGTATAAAAGACATGAACAAGTGGATTTTGCATAATAGGTGACCTTTAAAGGGGACCTATCATGCAAAATGCACTTTTGTACGTCTTTTATACATGAATATGTGTCCCCGGTGTTCCAGGGAACTCACCAAGTGTCAGAAAACACAACCCTCTCTATTTTCCTCCATACCCAAATCTCTAAAAAAGGGGCTGCAACGGATCTGATAAAAACTGATCCAGATTTGAACACTGTCCTGACGTCAGGATGGTGGCGCTACGGCTATTGGGCCAACTCCACCAATCAGGAGGAGACAGCCACGGCCATTGCCATTCGAAAGCGCTGGAGACGCTGTAGTGCATATGCCAGGCCTGTAGATGGTGCTGTTCTCACAGAATCAACCCTTGCAAAAACAGAGCTAAAAAATGTCAAATTGAGCAAAATGAGGCATGGCTAAAATGCATGATCTGTTTGGTATTTTGAAAAAAAAAAAGTATAAATATGCCTTATATAGGTATGGTCCTACACTATATTATTCAAATATAGCATGATAGGTCCACTTTAAATACTGTATTCAACCTCTTCTGTCAGTTTTCTCTGTCACTGAAGGACGTAGTTATGGGGGTTTCCATTGAGAGGGGGATGGGCGGAGAGATAATGCAGGGTCTGTGGCTGGGAGTAGACCCATGGGACAACATCCAATGTGCTGTAAACCATAACGGCCCCATAACAGGAAGATTTCTCATTTCCACGATGCTCGAGCCATATCTCATCTACCGCCTTGACAATCCCACTGAGACCCAAATACTGGGCGGGACAGCACACTCAGCATCGGAGGAGGGGGAGTGTGACCTATGGGAGGTGATTTTGGAAGGAAAGGTGGGGAAATGCATAGAACAGGACACAGAAAAAGTCGGAAAGGTTTGATCTGGTTCCTCCTTTGCTTGAGGATTCAAATAATAAAAAAAAAAGGCCATGACCATTGGTGGAGGTAATAGGAGGAAACTGGGATTAATAATGGAAGGATTATAAAGCCTGCATAAAAAAAGGAATTGGACACACCCCAAAATAATATAATATGGCATTTTTATTTTTGCAATGTTCTGGTACATGGATATGTTTCCTATTGGACTGCGTTATTGTAATATGTAGGATGACCTTATATATATAACTCATCTGTTATACATACCTGTGTTATTTACGTTCTCAGTGTTATTATTGATTTGATTTCTATACATTTAGTTTTTCATATTCTCATGTTGATTTTTAGGATTTGAGACCTTAACGTGTTGTGACCCCTTGTTAAAGAAACTTTTCATCTAAATTGGAGTACTATTGGATGTAAAGGGGAATATGAGAAAATAACTAATAAAGAATACGTTTTTAAAAAAGGCCATGAATACAGTACGTGTCTTTTTACTTTCTTTGCCCAGTTCGTTCCAAAGGTCCTGAATCGTCCACAATTCGCCTCTGAAAACAAGACTGTGTCCAATAGATCTAGTTGTTGACAGATTTCGCTCAAAACCCCAAAAAGGTAATCCTTCAAAGTCAGGGAATCACCAAAGTAACGAGACCAGTCTTATTTCTATTAACAGATAACTACATTTCAAGCCAAAGGGACAAAACATTGGTATCTGATTGAGGATGGACCATGTGGATTTCCCTTTTTGGTCACCAGCACAAGAACATTAGGATTCATTGCCTCTTTCTTGATGTTTTATTGTTCATAAAATATTGATCTGAAGCTCTGTGCACATAAAGAAAGGCTAGTGGCTGGCTATTAATGTCTCTGAGGTAATGCTATATTAATGAAGAGTGGGCAAGGCAGAAGCCACCACCAGCAGAAACAGAAACGCCCGAGGTTAACCTCTTGATTCATTTAGCACCTCTGTGTCTCTGAGCTGCAAGAGTCCACCTGTCCTCGAGTCAATATGTGCATTTTAAAAAGGAAGAAAAAGCAAGATATTGGTTAAAAACAAGATCAAATAAGATGTTTATGATCAAAGCTTCTTGCAAAAGGTAGTCAGATCCGAGTTTGTATTTTAAATGAGGCAAACTTTGCTTTGATGTTTCTGGTTGTTATTCAGTTTTGGTGATTCACACAGTGGTTTAAGGTCAAACAGATATCTGCCAAAGTGGTGGACCAACCAACCTGCAAAGAGTGGAGCAAAGATGACATACTTTTTGTTGCCGACCTGAAAGTTAACATTGCAAGTGCTCCCCCCGACGACAGAAAATTGCCGTAAAAACAAACATTTATGTAACTTACTTACACGTTTCGTTTATCAGGATTATCTCCACATAATAACACCACTTTATGATGTTTGAAGCGTAAATGCAATTGACAGAAGTAATAAACTAACGTTAGGCTATAAAGGAACTACAGCATGATCACATGACTTCACGTCACCACTAAGCTAAGCTAGCTAAAGCTAGGGTTTAGCAGCCAGCTAAAGTCAGCTTATTGGGGTATTAAAGGTGGGGTAGGTAATTCACTTCAGAAACACTTTTTGTTATATTCCATGGAATGCTCTTAACATCCTGATAGCAATGAATAAATTAAATGCTTTGACAATAAATATATACAAAAATGTCATCTGTGGAAGCCGTGGCGCTGTAAAAAGCACGACCAATCATCTGAGCCGGCCCGGCTAAAATAACTGGATGGCCTACCTGCCTGTCAGCCTTCCATCTGTGCACAAACTTATCTCGTGCCCTCATTGGTCATGTGCGCGTTCGTGTGTGTTGGAGGAGGGGCTCTGGAAGGAAGTCTGAAGGAAGGGGCAGATTTTTTCCAGTTGTGTACTTTCAAATTCTAGCGCACTCGAGCTGGTTTCTCCATTCTTACCTACCCTACATTTAACGGCCCGTCCACACAGCGGCTTTGGAAAAAGCTTGCCGGCGGGCGTGTCTGAAGCTCGACCAACAACAAATCACACGAATCTCCCGCCCCTGAGACACAAGCAGCGGTTTGATTGGCTAGAGCTTGTACTGGCATATGATTTGATTGGCTGACGCTTCCACCGAAAGCTTCAGAAGCTTCAAAAGTTGAACATTGCTCAACTTTTGAAGCCTGAGATGCCTGGAAAGCTCCGCTCTGCTTCCCACAATGCAGTTCGGCGAAAAGTGAGGCAAAGTGACGTCACCCCATTCAAAGTGAATGGGCAGAAGCGTTGGAATATTTTTTTAACGCTGCTGTGTGGACGTACCGTAACTGAAGTATTTTATGTCGTAGAATAAAAACCCTACATTTATCTCCAACTTGTGTTAAACTACAGACCTTTATATCAGGCATCTAACCAAAACAAATATAAAAACACATTGACTTGGAAACGAGCTAACCGGTAGTGCTCAAATCCTAACTATTTCCCCAGGTTTTAGGACTCATTCTGGCATCAATAAAACCATGCCTATGACAAAACGTTTTCCATCCAGTATAACAACCTCCTCATCTTTTGTTTTTTACCACTATGAACAATTGTCCCCTCCCTGCGGGGGCCAGTATTGGATTGCCTCGATCGTCTAAGAAAAGAAGTGCGTCGGAAACAACCATAAAAATCGTTTTAAGGTGAGCCCTGAGCAGCTTCACAGTCAAAGTTGATGCATTGTTTGAAAAGCAGTTCCTCTGAATCTCACCATGAACAAAACTCTTTCAGATGTTCACCTTTTACACTGACACACACACACACACACACACACACACACACACACACACACACACACACACACACACACACACACACACACACACACACACACACACACACACACACACACACACACACACACACTGTCCAGCCAGCTATGCTAACCCCTCTCTCTGCTAACCAGCTCTGTCCTGTGATGTTACATGTGCTCCAGGAGTGTTAGATCAATAGCCGTGTATCATTAACCTACATCCAGACACACACACACACACACACACACACACACACACACACACACACACACACACACACACACACACACACACACACACACACACACACACACACACACACACACACACATACAGCCCTCTTTCCCCCCCTATATTCTGCAGCATCCCTCCTTCTCCCCTCTAATGTTTGGGTCAGGTTCATGTCCTCTACCCCTACCTCCATTCATGAAGAGGCAGAGGGGGGAGGGATGGATGGATGGAGGGAGATAAGGGAGAGAGATGGACAGAGGTAGATAGAAGGGGAGGGATGGAGTGGGAAAAAAACAAGCTTTGAATACAAATGAGCTGACACACATAATGCATTCCCCCCTCTCCTCCCTCTCTCTCTCACACACACACTCTTACTCTCTCTCTCTCTCTCTCTCTCTCTCTATCTCTCTCTCTGTCTCTCTCTCACACATGTTCCTGCACTCTCCTCCGTGCCTCCTCATTGGACCGATGCACGCTGCACAGGAGGCAATTTCATCCACTTAATTTATTACTCATCATTGCCGGTTGTTGGTAGGAACAAGCTAATTAAAAGAGGAGGGTGTGTGTGTGTGTGTGAGAGAGCGTGTGTGTGTGTGTGTGGAGGATTTGGAGACGGAGACGTTGGAGCTGCTGCCGTCTCTCACGCTTCACCGTGGGGGAGAGTAGAGGAGGAAGAAGAGAGGACAGCTGGATGGTTTTTTCACACCACTTACTTACACCATCATCTGATCTGACATGACCACCGCATAGGAATCTGGTGCAAACGAGACGAGGTAAGGAGGGAGGAAAGGACGCAAGGAAATACCACAAAAACATGTTCTGCTTTTAATATATCATGAGTCTTTGAATGTGTGTGTGGGTGTGTGTTTTGGTGCGGGGGGAGTGTCCCAGTGTGTGTGTTTTGCCGTGGTATTCCCCAAACAGAAGCCCTTCATTATCCGGCACCGGGTAAATCCTATTATGGATTAACTCTCCTCCTTGACTTTGTCCTATTAATAGGAGAGGAGGGAATGCCGTGTAGTACAAGCAGAGGAGGTGTTTGTTTGTTTATTTGTTTGTTTGTTTGTTTGTTTGTTCGTGACTGAACTCAGGTGTATTGTTTGGCACAGGACTTCCTGTACTGCATGTGAGATGGAGCATGCAGTGTGGCAAAAAGGCTCACACACACACACACACACATACATACACACACACACACACACACACACACACACACACACACACACACACACACACACACACACACACACACACACACATTCCTGCACAACATGAGGGCAAATGGACAGACAGCACTGGGCTGCAGGTAAATGCTCAAATCAAACATGTCAGTCGCTGAAAGAAAAATGTCTGCAGTACAAGTGTTAAATATTTCAGTTATGGAACATGAAGCACAAATATATAAAATAACCTCTGAGTGACATTTGGTATTTTAACGCTGCATTGCTGCTGCACAAATGTGGATGTATGCATAAAAAGATACGTTAAGAGCATTCGTTTGGTAACGCAGAAATAAACTCAAGCATGATCCAGATTGTTGCACCCAATTAGCCATTGAGTGTGTGTGTGTGTGTGTGTGTGTGTGTGTGTGTGTGTGTGTGTGTGTGTGTGTGTGTGTGTGTTGTGTGTGTGTGTGTGTGTGTGTGTGTGTGTGTGTGTGTGTGTGTGTGTGTGTGTGTGCTGTGTGTCCTGGGGCAGGGTGTTGGACTGCAGAGGCAGCCGAGAGGACATATGGCTGCTCCTACCCTCTGACTGGGGTCCTTAAAGGAGCAGCAGAGGATTCAAATGTCCTGCTCTCCACATTTGTATACATGTGTGTGTATCAGTGTGAGTGTGTGACGGTGCTAATTCAACTTTCCCCTCTGCAGCTCCACCATTTTGATTTCAGTTCCCACATGTTTTGGTTGTGTCTCTGTGTAATTGGCTCTGGATTCTGTCTGTCTTTGTTTCCCTCAGACTACACACATCTGTCTCATGCACACATCTCCTGTCTGTGTTGACAGGTTGCTTTGATGTCCTCTGATTGATAGATGGACGATCAGATTAAGCCCCCTTTCACTTGGACCCTGCTTATTAGATCAGAACCAGCTGGACAGCCTCCTGCATCCAAATCTCAAATACATGCACAAAGCTCTGTGCATTTCAACCACGATTTAGCAGAGTTACAGAGGTCGAATACGAGCCAGGCTGCAGTAAGGACCACTTTTCTAAGAAATGAGCTTCTGGGGCATCCTACATCCCCTTTTAAAGCATCAAATAACTTATTAAAACCACTCCTACTACTTGGCCTAGACAGTATGAAATATGGACATAGTCTCTGTGACGTCACTCAAAGGTTTCTGAACAGCCGTTGTAAAGTTACATTTGGGATCTGACTTTCGTCATCTTGGCAGTGACGACATCTAACTCGCTAATCCAATAATGGTAAAGAGGTTGATCATTGAAGAGTTGGAGGTGGTTTTGGATAGCATCATGTGACCAGACCCTGTCACTTAAACTGGCCACACCTTCCCATATGCAGAACTTTAAGCCTTTAAACTGGGTAAAAATCCACCGCCCACTTGCCTCTCTCTTTGTGTCAGCTGTTTGGTGCTGAGCTTGAAGTGGTGAGTTGGTTTTTAGCTTTCTTCTCTGGTCACAGTTACGTGCTGTGGTTAAAAATGACCCTGTTAGCCTCGAGCACTGGAAAAAATGCTGCTCCAAAAACAAGTTAAACAATAATGAAAACAAGGTGTTTTCACTTGAAATAAGTACAAAAATCTGCCAATAGATCAAGAGGAAATTTGCTTGGTAAGATTTCTTGAAATAAGAACGGATATTTAGATAAATCTGATCTTGTAATTAGCTGAGAACTCATTTTTAACTATATTTGACCAGAATCAGGAAATGTTGTGTTATTTATAATAATACTCAAAAGTTTTCTGTTTTCTGATGTTAGTTGGTGATTTTCAAATAAATATGTGTTTCATCTGAGATACAACTCAAAATAAGATTTTTTGACTTAACAAGATGATGCATTGTCTAAAAACAAGACCTGATATCTCACTGCAGTGTTACTTCTGAAGTTATTGTTCTTATATCAGGAGTAAAGACATATTCTGACTCGATATTAGACAAATATACTTGGCAAGATTTCAAGTTTTTGTAGTGAGAGTGAACCAAAAGAGTAAAGGTGTTGGAAAGACATCACAATCAGTTTAAATGCACACACTTGGAGGAGACCTGCAGATTGGTATGATCATTATTACCCCTGCCAATGAGGTAATTTGTTTGGGTTGGTGTGTTGCTTTTTTGTCTGTTTGTCAGCATGGATACAGAATAACTACAGGCTATAACACTTGGTGTAAGGTTGTATCATGGACCAGGTAAGAACCAATTCAATTCTTGTGCGGATCTGAATTACAGGGCAAAAACACGCCTTATTTTTTACTTATGGAAAAAACCTTGACTAACTTGAAACACCTTTGTCACATTGTCATTTTATACGTAATATAAACATATTGATTGAAGAAGCTCTAAAAACTGAAGATAATGTTTCCGGATTTGCAGGCTTTGGAGTTAACCACTAAGTAATACTTGCTCAACACAGATTTTACTGACGACCTTTGGAAATGAAGTGTAATCCTCTAACTCTGTTTCCACTTTCTGCATACTGAGCAGAAGACAGATTTTCTCATACTAATTAAGCTTCAAACTTGTCATCCAAATCAGCACTCAGCAAACACTTCTGAGAAAATGTCTCAAACACCAAATGTGCGTGGGACAGCTCAGAAGCCTGCTCACACCCGTGGAGAAAACAAGCTTTCATTCTCTGCGTAAAGTCATCCCTCGCTTGGTGTCCCACTTATCAGTTATTAAACATCAAAAGCTTCCATACATCGTCTCTCGCCACCCGAGTGGTTTCTGCGGTAAAGCAGTTTTTATCTTCAGCAGATCTGCCACCACCAACTCATGCATTTTTGTACTTTCTCAGTCGGTGGCCCAAAACTTTGGAGGAGAGCCTCTTTGTTCTGCCTCCCACTGAGGGGAAGAAACATTGAGAAACACTTCCCTTCAGCCTTTAGTGGAGAAGAAACGAAAATCGAGTCCTCGCTCAGTCTTTCTGTTTCTCTGACGTTTGGTTTCCGTTACCTGGGGCTTTTTGCTTGTTCACCCTGGCAGCTCCTTTTTTACATTTTTTACAAGTCTCACACAGAGTCCAACCAACCCTCTCTAAAAAGCAGTCTTGGTTGGCACGTTGTATTGTTCGCTAAGAGCTTGGCTTCATGCCTTATTCATCCCTCAGGCCTATTCTTTCCACCAGCGTTGAAGGAATTAGGAGGAAAGAAAGCTCCCCGGCACATATCACACTCAAACTCACCAGCAGACAGAGGTCAACCTGACAGCTTCTCAGAAACAAAGACACTTCTACCTCCCCTGTCTACTCTATATATTGCGAGTTTTTAAAGCCTGTCCAACTTGACAACCCATGACTCAGGGTCCTTGCCAAGTCTCTGAAAATAAAGTTTCTGTTCTAAGTTCAGCAAAGTGATAGATAAAAAGCCTTGAGGCAAACACTACATTTAGCTGAGCACTCAAACTCACTTTTGAGAAGGTTTGCAAAGTGTGACAACAGGGATTACAGTGTCATTACTGCTGGCACTTTACTGTGACAAATCTTTCCTATTTTTCTCTTTCGTCAGTGGCGAGCCGTCAGGCCCTCAAACATTTTTTTAAATATATTTATAAAAATATATTTTTTAGTTATATATTTCATTAGTTTTACCAAAATAACTTGATTTAATTGAATTTAAAATAACATTTCCAAAGAAATAAATCCTTCGAATCTGCCTGTTCAGTTTCTGTTTGAATGTGAAGGGTTAAATGAAAGAAGCTCCTTTAGCCGTCTCTGCGAGTTACTGTGAAGATAGGAGCTGATTGGTGGTCCTGCTGTAAATTCACAGAGGGCCAGCTAAAGTTACTCAATGAGAGAGTAATGTCAAATGACAGTACAATTGATCAATCATATCTTCCCTCTAAATGGGTGGGTTTTATTATCGCGGACTTTATGACAAGTTCCGCCCGCTGTGAAGCTTTTCTTGTTTCCATAGCAACAACAACTTCCTGTCAACAGTGTAAACTCGCCTTCAAAATAAAAGCATGCCAAATTACACTTAAGACATACAACTGCAACGAAAGTAACAAACACAATGCAATATCATTTTCCATTTCAAAGAACACAAATTGGGTTCACAGGTGTTGTTTTGTGTGGTAGAGGGTCGCTGTCATTGATGCGTTTTGCACCCCGGGCCGTTGTTTTGATATTCCGCTGAAGTATACGCTGTGACGTAATAACTATTTTTTTTTATTTTTTTCGAGGGAAGGGTTGGGGGTCAGAGGGCCTACATGTAGGTATAAAAGTCACGGCTCGCCACTGTCTTTCGTTAATCTATTTTTATACAGTTTAAGTGGAAACAGCTTGGTCAGTGGCCTGTCACATCAAACTATGACCGTCTACAAACCCTCTAACATTGGTTTCAGATGTTTAGGGTGGCTTATAATAGCTCTTGTAATCAAGACAGGAGTAAACACGGAGGTCGGATGACGTATAAACGATGATGAAGTCCATCTATAGGAGGTTTTGTTGACGGATGGGTCGTAGAAACACCCAGAAGAAGCTGCATGTGTCCAACTCGACACTGACTCGACTTATTTTAAGTAACATGCTGACATAAGGGGTGCTTGACTTATTTTCCGTACGTATCAACTGTGTGTGTGTGTAAAACCACAGAAGACCGCCTTTTGTGTCCCAAGTTCAGACCAAAACTCAGAGTCAACGCTATCCATTTTCAAGCAATGTAATTACGTAATGTGCTGGACATACATTTCAACCCAGTCTCACGGCATTTCGTGTTATAGTCACGAAATTAATTGAATCTATTGATTGGTGTTCACCAACACGATTTTAAAAGCAATGTATTTCTATTGGTAGTATGTTTCGTGCCTGCACCACGTCTTTTTGTCCGGTCAGGTCTTGGAAGACCAGAAGCTGAGTGGTTCATAAAAACATTTTTTTACTCAATATCTTACTCTAAGCCTAACCCTATCCCTTTTATTTTAAATTGTATAATGTCCAAGTTTTTTTGCCGTCTGCAAGGAAAATAAATGGCTCAGAGCCTCAGAATACTGAAATCTGTATTTTTTTTAATCTTTTTTTCCTTCTAATCTGTTATTATTTGGTGCAGGCACGAAACATACATTACTACCAATAGAAATACATTGCTTCTAAAAATCGTTCTGTGTCAGAATTCTGAAATCTGTATTTTTTTAATCTGTTTTTCCTTCTAATTTGTTATTATTTACATTGCTTTTAAAATCGTTCTGTGTGACACGAAAAAAATGGCGAAATCGTGTTGGTGAACACGAATCAATAGATTAATTTCGTGACTATAACACGGAATGCCGTGAGACTGTGTTGCGTATTTATATCATGAACGTAATGTAGATACTTACTTAGCTTAAGTCCCTTAACAAATGTACCAATTTGAACCAAAACCATGATATTTGACTAAATGTCAAGAAGTAGCAACATTATGAATTTCACTTACCAAATGTCCTAAAAAGTGAGACCAAGTAGCACTTATTGAGTTGTTGATATTGTTAGCTTGAGGGAAAGTTGTGTAAAGCACTTCACTGATTACTTTCCTAAATTATAGTACAAAGACTGTTAAAAAAATACCCTACTGACAATTTCAGTTTTCTTGGTTGCATTGCAGAGTGTAGCTGTCCGAGTCTTCCTCTGTTGCTAGCTAGCAGTAGCATTTTTATGGGCATGCTAGCAACATATTACCAGTAACACATGTGAAGAGTTGAGAGTAAGAACCTAGTGTCGTTTTGCAATGTACTAATATACTGATGCTGTCTTAAAGCAAGCTAGAAAAACATTGAAAAAATGACAGTAGTCTACTTACTAGGCTACCACTAGCATCTTCTGGGCTTGCTAGCAACATATTACTAGTTAGCTTGCTAGCTACAGTAGCACATTGCCACTTAGCTCTTCAAATTGTGTTCACTTAGCTCCTAGCACAAGTTGTTTTGCACTGACTTTTGTATAACTCTGCTAATATGGTGTGACTGTTCACTGTTTATCTAACCTGTGGTATATTTATTGTATATAATGTAATGATTTAAATATTGAGCATTTTTCAGATCAAACAGTGTTTCAGTGTGTGTTTGGTATAAAGAGGCAGACTGTGACGCAGGTTTTTAAAATTCATTTGAACTGTTTTGTTTATACTCCTGGGGCTGCTCTGATGCATGATGCATACAAATTCAAAATAAGAAAAGCAATTTAAATGAATGCAACAGTAAACTGTAGAAGGCACACAGTGTTACAAAATGAGTTCACTTTTTGTGTGAGTATTGAATATTTATGGTGTAGCTTATGCAGTAGATAAACAATACAAATGTAACAGCAGTGTGATCGTTCCGGATAAAAGATAAGAATAGAATAGAATAAATCTTTATTGTCATCATACAAAGTACAACGACATGTCTTTGGCAACTCTCACTGCGGTAAAAAATAGACACAAATAAATAAATAAGAGTGGTAAAAGCAGAGGTAGTAGCGATGACAGTGTAACGAGATGAAATGCAATGTCAATGTGCATATTTACGCTTACTGTCTCAACACGTTAAATGTACAAAACTGTGTAAATGTCGTGTATTTCTAACTGTGTGTTCATAAAGGGTTATAGTAAGCAAAGGATGCAAGACATCATGGAAAGCCCTTCGAAGCTTGTTGGTCTTGATTGGATTTCACTTAATCTCACACTTGGGGCCAGACCAGTGGACTGACCTGCTTTATCCTCTTTCCTTCAGGATTAGGAGACAGAGAGCCGGACAGAGGGACGCTCGGAGAAACACAGAGAGAGAGGGATGGCTATGGAGGAGAAGCCGGGAGTGAAGAGCAGCAGCTCCATCGTCCCCTGCTTCCTGTTTGTGGAGGTAAGAGACATGCTTCACAGCATTGACATTCAAATTCGAAAGTATCCTAATGCAGTACTCAATATCTTAAAAAATGCTGCCAATATTCCTTATCAAGCGTCTGCATTTGATGAGTTGTTGGTGAGAACCTATTGGTATTGTTGACGGACAGTTGTTTAATAGTGTTGACAACTCTAAATCAACATTTGAATGCTGTGGAACTTCCTCTCCTTTTTGCTGGTCTGTTCATTGTGTTTAAAGCTGGTATTTCTGCACAGATAAAGATTTAGCGACACTAATATGATTCGTATTTTAATATTTGTTGAGATTCCAGTGGTGGCTCCGTAGGATTGTTGCCGGGTCGTGTTCTCAGAACATTCACGTTCCAGCGTTGTTAGGTCCAAAATGTAACATTTATTGAAAAAAGTGAGTGCTAACAATTCACAATCTTTACGTATGTGATGAAATATTTAGTGTTAATTCCTGTTTGTCTGTGTTTTGCCTTTCTAAGACAAAATGTCACTGTGGGAAAAAAAACTGTATGCCCTCACGCCTGTTTTGTTCTGACAACAGACATCCAAATCTTCTTTAACAAACCTCAATAAAAGCTTTAAATGTAACAATAAAATGACATTCGGTATTGCTCTACTTTGCTAGCACAACAAGGCAAGGCAAGGCAAGTTTATTTATATAGCACCTTTCAACACAAGGCAATTCAAAGTGCTTTACAAAAATGGAAGACATTATGAAAATGGCATTTAAAATCAGTCATTAAAAAGAAAAGATAATAAAATAAACATTAAAAGAAAAAATACATGTATAAAAGTTACAGTGCAGTTTAAGATGTGAATAGTTCAATTAAAAGCAGCGGCAAAAAGAAAAGTCTTCAGCCTGGATTTAAAAGTAGTAAGAGTTGCAGCGGACCTGCAGGTTTCTGGGAGTTTGTTCCAGATATCTGGAGCATAATAACTGAACGCTGCTTCTCCATGTTTAGTTCTGACTCTGGGGACAGAAAGCTGACCAGTCCCTGAAGACCTGAGAGATCTGGATGGTTCATAATTTAGCAGTAGGTCAGACATGTATTTTGGGCCTAAACCATTCAAAGCTTTATAAACCAGCAGCAGTATTTTGAAATCTATTCTTTGACACACAGGAAGCCAGTGTAAGGACTTCAGAACAGGAGTGATGTGATCCACTTTCTTAGTGTTAGTGAGGACTCGAGCAGCGGCGTTCTGAATTAGCTGCAGCTTTCTAATAGATTTTTTAGTGAGACCTGTAAAGACACCATTGCAGTAGTCGAGTCTACTGAAGATAAAAGCATGGACAAACAAGGACAGGAGATTTTATTATGATACTATATACTTTGTTGTCCCTGTTTTTAAAGCTAGCCATCTACCGGTTGCATTTAAAAAACTGCAAAACAAGACTAGAGCTTGGGTCACAGCAGATCCACGGAAAGAGGAAATACTTGAAATGTTTTGATATAAGATTGATGAAATATGGAGAAAATTGAGAGCACTACAAATTCAGTATACTGTTGCTGTAAAACAATAATGCTATAAGAGCCTAACGGTATTTCTTAGTCATGAACTCTGTTTCTCTGGGCTTTGATTCCTGATTTATCTTTCCAATTGCCTGTCCTGTCAGCGAATAGCACCTTTGTGGCTTAGAGATTTGATTCGTACTCTTTCCTGGCATTGCATCTCTACAACTGGAGCCACGGCGGTAAATATTTCAGGCTGAACAGGAGCATTTGGGACAGCTCAGCAAACACGCTCTGTGTCGCTGACATTCCCACTCGGTGTCACACATCGCGCCCTGCCGCAGCACCAGGGGCAGCGAGGCTTTAGTAAAGCTGCTACAGTTTGTTTTGTGGCGTGTTGAACATTTCCCAGCGTATTTGTGAACTGCATGATTCATTGAGGTGGTTTGCGGATGTCGGGGAAGTGGATTTTCAGCAGCTGCACTGAGCTACAGATCACACCAAAGGTCATCGTCTGTGGCAAACCGAGAACCCCCCCCCACACACACACACACTTAATTTCCCTCCTTTTGGAAAGCATGCTCTGGATTTTTTCGTGAGAGCAGTCAGACACATGAGTCAGAGGGCAGCGGAAGTCCCAGGGCTTTTACTGAATTGTGACTGAGGTGGAGAAAAAGCATGAACTGGTGAAGAAATCAGGCCGTCTGTAATCCAATTAGACAAACCAAGCAGGCCAAGAGCTCATCGGCTTGAAGTAATTCAACCATCAGCTGGAGTATATGCATTCAGAGCACTGATGTGTAACAGAGAGGAGAGGAGACGCCGATGTTGGCATCAGTGCAGGTGCATGCTGATGTGATGCAGATGTTACATCATGTTGGGTTTACATTTGTTTGGATTCAGTTTTGTTATATCAGAGCATCTGCAAAAGCACATTTTACGGATTTTGAATTAGCACTTTTTTGCATTTCATGTCATGATTGTGAACTGTGGAGGTCCAGAGAGGCAAGTGAGAGACTAAAAACATCTGGCCCATTCTCTATGTGTGATCTAATAATACTTTTGTTGTAAAACTATATGTGATCTGTGAAACAGGTGGGAAAAAAAGGTTTTGTCAAGTAAAGAATTGCAAAATGGCAAAGCTGTGTGTTTTAGCAACCAAAAACACCATTGCAATTTTTCTTAACCTGTTTGACATATAAAACAATTTCAATAATGAACTGAAACAGATTATCTTAGACACATTTCTTTGGATCAATTCCTAAGTCATAAAAAGAGAAAGAGAAAACAATTTAGATCAGATTTCAGAAATGATCACTACAATAGCAGAAAAAACGGCCTTCTTGTTGAAATCCAGCAATCGCTGCACATACTGGTTTTGTTGCAAGCTGCAAGTAAATTTCAACTGAGAGAGATTCAGGTGTATTTTAGTCACCTTTTGCCTGAACACCTCTATGTGTGTTTGGCCCTGAAGGATGTACACGATACAATACTCACTCTGACCCTCCCATGTGATCCTGTCTGTGAAACACTGCTCCCTTCGGTTATATTACACTGTAAAAGCTCTCCATTAAGCCACTCCGCCATATGCCTCCCACACGTCAGCCCTCAGGTCTCAGTCAATCTCATACTCTATATGTGTGTGTGTGTGTGTGTGTGTGTGTGTGTGTGTGTGTGTGTGTGTGTGTGTGTGTGTGTGTGTGTGTGTGTGTGTGTGTGTGTGTGTGGTGTGTGTGGTGTGTGTGTGTATGTGTGTGTGTGTGTGTGTGTGTGTGTGTGTGTGTGTGTGTGTGTGTGTGTGTGACGGCCAGAGAGAGAGTATTTCTATCTATTTGTTCTGGGATGGGGAGCAAGCGGTCGAGGCCAGAGGAAAGAGGCCAGCAGCTGTTACCTGTAATGGAGGGCAGTGGACAGAGTATGTTTTTATTGTCGGACAAAGAGCAGGTGTAAATCCAATATGCAGGGTTAAGGTTAAAGTTAGTTTCTTAATAAAGCACATTTCATACACAAATGTACGGAGACTGACAGGTGCAAACGCGCCCAAATAAGAAAGCATTACAGCTTGAGAAACAATGCAAATATAAAACGCTGCAAGAAGTTCAAAACACAACGGAAACCAGGGGACACTAAAAAGTGACGCACAGCTGGGGCGCTTGTTGACGTTCAGGGATTATAAAGTTTGCCATAACTTCTGAAGGAATCTTGCTATCACATTGCTAAAATCAGCTAAGTCTTGTGACAGTTGGCCAACTTTATTTATATGATTTTTTTAATGATAATAAGAAATGTAATTAAAAAAAGGTATTTATTTATTTTTTATTTAAAGGGGACCTATCATGCAAAATGTACTTTTTTATATGTGTCCCCGGTGTGTCAGGGAACTCACGCAGCGTCAGAAAATAAAACCCTCTCTCTTTTCCTCCGTACCCAAATCTCTAAAAACGGGGGTACAACGGAGCTGATCCAGATTTGCGTCCGATATGACGTAATATCTGAAATGTGGACCCACGGCCCTATCAGAAACGTTGCTATCAGAAACAATGCCCGACTGTTTTGGACGTAATATGGTCGGTGTTTACATTAGCATCGCTAACACTCAGAGCTAACCTGTACTGGAGAGCATGTGTGTGAAGAAGCAGGAAATAAAAAGGAACTCACCTTGTGGTATAACCGGCAAGAGAGAAAGCCTTTGAGCTCCATACTGTTTCAGAAATAATCCTTGATAATCCATGATGTGGCGTTTCACCACGGCAGTATTTAGTTTAGACAGTAGCTGCCGGGTCCCGCATGAGCTCAGACCCCTCCTTTTTTTTTGTAATCCATTTTTATTTTTTTAAAGCTTTATATGCAAAATCAGCACTTTTGAAACAGGAAGTGAAATAGAGGGATATGAGGCATGGCTAGAATGGGTGATCTGTTTGGTATTTGGAGCAAAACACTTCATAGACATGTTTTTTATATATATTTATATATCTGAGACCTATGCTATTGCCTAGAAATAGCATGATAGGTGCATTTTAAATTATTAAAATGTTTACATGTTTCCTGTCTGTTATTTTTTTATGAATATAAGAAAGATCATTAAACGTGTATTAATCCCTCAAATTGTATGTATACTGTCTTGCATAAAGTCAATACCTTGAGTATGATGAGGATAATAATAATAATAATTAATAATTAATAATAGTAATAATAATTCATTACATTTATTTAGCGCTTTTCCAAGTGCTCAAAGCGCTTTACATTGCATATTAAATATATCAGACATGTAATACATAAATACTGTGGACAATACCCACATGGATAGCAGAATAAAGCTGTAATTGGTGGACAGAGGAGAAGGTTTTCTGAAGCTCTGAGGTCACTTGGTGAGAAAATCATCACAAACTGAAAGGGTGAAAAATGTCCGGTTTAGTCATCTGTGCTGAGAAGACTGTGTGAAGTACAGACAGGCATCAACACAGCATACATGATTTATTATGCACTGCTACTCTCCATTAAGCTTCTTCTCAGTAATATTGTGAATTTGGCCCCCTTT